TGAACTACAGCTAACAGCTCCCTATCCCCAACGTCATAGTTACACTCCGCCGGGCTGAGCTTTTTGGAGTAAAAAGCACAGGGGCGGAGTTTAGGTGGCGAGCCGGACCGTTGAGAGAGAACGGCCCCTATACCAGCCTCAGACGCGTCCACCTCAACCTGAAATGGAATTGTGGGATCCGGATGCGCCAGCACCGGAGCCGACGTAAACAGGTCCTTCAGTCTCCCAAAGGCCCTGTCCGCATCAGCTGACCACTGCAGGCGCACCGGACCCCCCTTCAGAAGGGACGTGATGGGAGCTGCCACCTGTCCAAAACCCCGGATAAACCTCCGGTAGTAATTCGCAAAGCCCAAGAACTGCTGCACCTCTTTTACAGTGGTTGGAGTTTGCCAATTACGCACAGCGGACACACGATCCACCTCCATTCTCACCCCTGACGCGGACAACCGATAACCCAAAAAGGAGACCGACTCCTGGAAAAACAGACATTTCTCTGCCTTGACATATAGGTCGTGCTCCAACAGCCTCCTCAATACACGTCGCACCAGGGTTATATGCTCGGCTCGGGTAGACGAGTACACCAGAATATCATCAATGTACACGACCACCCCTTGTCCCTGCATATCCCGGAAAATGTCATCTACGAAGGATTGGAAGACTGATGGAGCATTCATCAACCCATATGGCATGACAAGATACTCGAAATGACCTGACGTGGTACTAAACGCCGTTTTCCATTCATCGCCCTCCCTAATGCGCACCAAGTTATACGCGCTCCTGAGATCCAATTTTGTGAAAAACCGCGCCCCATGCAATGACTCCGTCATGGTCGCAATCAGAGGGAGTGGATAACTGTATTTCACAGTAATCTGATTGAGACCACGGTAATCAATGCACGGGCGCAAGCCTCCATCTTTCTTTTTTACAAAAAAGAAACTCGAAGAGGCGGGGGAAATGGAAGGCCGAATGTATCCCTGTCTCAAAGATTCGGCTATGTAAGTCTCCATAGCTTTCCTCTCCTCTTGAGACAAAGGATACACATGGCTCCGTGGGAGCGCTGCTCCTGCCTGGAGATCAATCGCACAATCCCCCTGTCTATGGGGAGGCAACTGCGTCGCCCTAGTTTTGCTAAACACAAGAGCTAAATCCCCATATTCAGGCGGAATGTTCAGTGCGGGCACTTGGTTTGGACTTTCCACCGAAGTCGCCCCCACGGAAACACCCAGACATCGCCCCTCACACTGAGCAGACCACCCATCGAGAGCCCTCTGTTGCCACGAAATAGCAGGGTTATGGGTGCTTAACCAGGGAATCCCCAGCACCACTGGGTACGCAGGAGAGTCGATCAGATACAGCTGTATAGTCTCTTCATGACCCCCCTGCGCACACATCCTAAGTGGCGCTGTGACCTCCCTGATCAACCCCGACCCCAACGGGCGGCTATCTAAGGCATGTACGGGAAAAGGTTTGTCAACAGGTAGGAGAGGGATCCCTAACTCTAAACAAAACTTTCGATCAACAAAATTCCCAGCTGCGCCTGAATCTACTAGCGCCTTATGCTGGGAATGAGGTGCAACCTGTGGAAAACCAACAGGTATACAAAAGTGCGCAACAGAAAGCTCTGGGTAAGCGGGGCGTCTACTCACCTGGGAGGCCCCCCCAGTGCGTGGCCTGTTGTCCTCTCCCTCGGAGAACCCTCCCCAGCACCTGGCCGCAGTGTGCCCTCCACGACCGCACTTGGTGCAGGAGACAGGCCCCCTCGGGCTCTTCCTCCTCCGCTCTCTAGCGCCAGTGCCCCCGAGCTCCATGGGGCACGGCTCGGAGGCGCTGGAGGGTGAAATGGACGGACCCCCCTCGGAACGTCCGCGGGTAGCTAGCAGGTTATCCAGCCTGATGGACATGTCGACCAACTGGTCGAACGAGAGGCTGGTGTCCCTACAGGCCAGCTCCCTACGGACGTCCTCGCGTAGACTACATCTGTAGTGATCGATGAGAGCCCGCTCATTCCACCCTGCATCCGCCGCTAGAGTACGGAATTCTAAGGCGAACTCCTGGGCACTCCTCCTCCCCTGCCGGAGGAAGACCAGACGCTCCCCCGCCGCTTTCCCCTCCGGGGGATGGTCAAACACCGCCCTGAAGCGGCGGGAGAACTCGTCGTAGGTGATGGTGTTCGCGTCGATCCTCCTCCACTCTGCGTTGGCCCATTCCAACGCCTTCCCGGAAAGGCAGGAGATCAGGGCGGACACGCTCTCATGTCCCGAGGGCGCCGGGTGCACGGTGGCCAGGTAAAGCTCCACCTGGAGAAGGAATCCCTGACACCCGGCCGCGGTCCCATCGTAGGCCCTCGGGAGCGAGAGTCGAACTCCTCTGGGTTCCGGAGCGGGAATGGGCTGACTTCCCGATGGGGCTGGCAGAGAGGATGGCGGTGTAGGAGTCCCCCAGCCTCGGATGGTGGTGATCACCTCCTGCAGTGCGGACCCCATCTGCAGGATCTGGTCACGGACCCTGTCCTCCAGCGTCGCCTGGGCTGCTGCGGCTCCTGCTGATTCCATTCTTATGGTGTGTGATTCTGTCATAAATGCTGTAGGTGGGTGTAGTGGTGGAATCAAGCCCAGGACACCGAAGTATAGTCCAAAAGACTTTAGTGGAATATCCAACAAGGAAAACAGAACAAACTTGCCCGAAGGCGAAACTACGCACATAGGCGACAAACAAAAGGCGCACTACACAGGTGCGTAAAACGCTCCAACACAGTGGAGTAAAGCTCAACCGAGCAAATAAGGAAATCGACAAGCAACCATACGACAGGAACAATCACACACAAACACAGACACACCCAACGAGACTTAAATAGAACACTAATGAGGACTAACTAGACACAGGTGTACAACATCAAGACCAAACCAAACGAACATGAAACATAGATCGGTGGCAGCTAGTACTCCGGGGACGACGACCGCCGATGCCTGCCCGAACCAGGAGGAGGAGCAGCCTCGGCCGAAACCGTGACACAAGGATGATCAATGGAAACAGGATGCACCTGAGCTCAATTTCGAGTCTCATAGCAAAGGATCTGATTACTATGTAAATAATGTATTTCTGTTTTTGATATTTTATAAATTTGCTAAAATTTCTAAAAACCTGTTTTCGCTTTGTCATTATGGGGTATTGTGTGTAGATTGATGAGGAATAAATAAATATTTAATCAATTTTAGAATAAGGCTGTAACGTAACAAAATGTGGGGAAAAAAAAGGGGTCTGAATGCTTTCTGAATGCACTGTATTGTTCAAGAATCAATGGGTACATTTCATTAAGTACAACAATGGATTAAGCAACAGCAGATTGCCCCTTTAAATCCTGTGTTTTTGACTTATTAAATGTAAAAGATACAGAGGAAACAAACAAGCCGAGTCGCTTGTTAACTCAACTTCCTCATTATGTTAGGTTGAGAGTCCACTGAAGTATGTTGGATTAGTCAAATGTTTGTTGTAGTGATTATAGTGGTCGTTGTGATGTAGCCCCGGCCTCATGTCTGTCTGACTGAAGGTCAGTCGTTAATGATGAGCTGTGGTGAAAAAAGAATCCAATTGTCATACTTGAGTAAAAGTAAAGATACCTTAATAGAAAATGACTCAAGTAAAAGTGAAAGTCACTCAGTCAAATCCTAATTGAGTAAAAGTCTAAAAGTATTTGGTTTTAAATATACTTAAGTATCAAATGTAAAAGTATAAATAATTTAAAATTCCTTATATTAAGCAAACCAGACGGCACCATTTTATTTGTTTATTTTTATTTAAGGATAACCAGGGGCACGCTCCAACACTCAGACATCATTTATTAACGAAGCATGTGTTTAGTGAGTCCGCCAGATCAGAGGCAGTAGGGATGACCAGGGAGGTTTTCTTGATAAGTGTGTGAATTAGTCCATTTTCCTGTCCTGCTAAGCATTCAAAATGTAACGAGTACTTTTGGTTGTCAGGGTAAATGTATGGAGTAAAAAGTACATCAAATTCTTTAGGAATGTAGTGAAGTAAAGGTAAAAGTAGTCAAAAATATAAATAGTAAAGTAAAGTTACAGATACCCCAAAAACTACTTAAGTAGTATTTTTAAGTATTTCTACTTAAGTACTTTACACCACTGATGATGAGGAAATGTGGCTGCCATGTCCGTAACAGTTTGTCTGTCTGGGCTGGGTAGAGATGGACCAATGACTGTATATATGAATGGACAAAGCCATTGATCACGTGACACCATTCATTCCTATGTGAAGACTCAATAGCGCATTGAAAACAAATGAAGTTGGTTAAGATGGCGTCTCATGGAGACAACATGCACAGTTTGTGCTACTCCAGGAAGTGACGTTGCAGGCTAGCTCAGTGCTGCCCCCTCTCATTGAATAACTCAAGTTGAAGGCTGACCTGGGTACTGCAGGCTGCCATTAGCAACTAAATTATCGTTCTTTCTGTGTGCGATTTTAAAATAATCAGTTCAAGGACATACATCTGGTGTATTAGAATGAATTATTGGTACCATGATTGTCTTCTTTTTTGTTTTACATGAAGATTGACCACGAAGATCGGCATTTTTCTATTCACTATAATGGGGATCCTGTTTTCTGCTAACAATGGCTGCGGTACCGGGGTCGGCCTTGAACTTCCGTGGCATTAATGAGAGAGTTGTCGGATCAAGATGAGGGGGTATTTTCTAGACGTTAATCTGGTCTGACAGCTTTGTCCCAGAGTCACACATAGAAAAACTCCCACTCTTTTCTCTGAAATGAAATTGGGGGAAGCCCCTTCCTAGAGGGGAAAATCATTTAAAAGATTCGTAGGAATCGTTATAACTACATAGGTAGAGCTGCAGCCTTACAAGTGAAAGTATTACTAAGGCAGATTGCTGATAAAATATTGTAATTGTTTTGGTTAAATATTTACGTTGGCACTACATATCAGGAAACTAAATTTTTCACAGAATTGGTTTAATGTTTGTTGTTCAAAGATAGCAGTGGCATCTACACTGTTTGTCATAGACTCTATATATCTCTCTATCCCCCTCTCTCTCTCCCCCCCGCCCTCTCTCCCCTGCTACCAGGTGTTGAAGGGGTTCCCAGAGTGTCTCCAGGCTGACATCTGCCTCCACCTCAACCGTACCCTCCTGGAGAACTGCAAAGCCTTCAAGGGCTCCACTAAGGGCTGCCTGCGAGCCCTGGCCATGAAGTTCAAGACCACCCACGCCCCGCCCGGCGACACCCTGGTGCACGCCGGCGACGTGCTCACCGCCATCTACTTCATCTCCCGCGGCTCCATCGAGATCCTCCGAGGCGACGTGGTGGTGGCCATCTTGGGTGAGGATGATAGAGGATAGGAGCTACTATTAGTGTAGCATGTATCAACCCAAATAGTACAGGTTCTACAGCTAGTCTAGCATGTATATAGGCTACCAAATGAAAGACTATAGGGTCTACTGTCACTCTATAGGGTCTACTGTTGCTAGTGTAGCAAGTACCAAGCCAAAGGGGAAATAATTGAAGAACAAACTGAATTTGGTATATTCAGATATGATGTGCTAGGGAAACTCATAGATGGTCAGAGATGGGCAAATAAGATATACAGACTTTCAAAGACAATTCTCCCCAGCATAGATAATATATAGGCCAACACTGCCATCTACTGGGCAACAATATGACCCAATTTATACCTCATGCAGCTTCAAACTCTGGGCAGTCGAGATGGGTGAAATGCTATTTCAGCACTGCTATGTACCATTTTGAGTTATTCAAATATGTAAATTTGCCATGTAACTTTCCAGTAATACCATAGCACTGTAAAACATTAGCATTTTTCGATGTACTGTATGTAAAAATGTCCTCTCTTTACTCACAGGGAAGAATGACATCTTTGGCGAGCCCATCAACCTTTACGGGCGAGCTGGGAAGTCCAACGCCGATGTGAGAGCTCTGACCTACTGTGACCTCCATAAGATCCACAGAGAGGACGTCCTGGAGGTGTTAGACATGTACCCTGAGTTCTCCGACCACTTCTGGATGAACCTGGAGATCACATTTAACCTCCGGGATGTGAGTGTGACCTCTGCCCTTTGATTGCAATGACTTTTCCTCATATCCGAACTTCCTCAAGAAAAGTCAAGACCATAAAAATGTATATTCAAATATTAATGTATGAATGCAAATGGGTGAATTCATGAATTAATTGGTGAATTAATTCCATTGTGCATCCCTACGGAAGATCTATTTACGCATTGATACTATATAAGCCCTCTAACATCAGTATGTGATTTTTCGAGATGTTTTCTTTGTTAATCCCTGCAGACCAATATGATTCCTGGCTCTCCAGAAAGTGACAACTCAGACTGTATAGGATTCAACAAACTGCGCAGACGCAAACTATCATTCCGGCGCCGGACAGAGAAGGGTAACCACCACATTCCCTTTCACTCCTTCATCTCTGTTCATGAGAACAAAACATATTATTTTCTCTGTGGTGCCCAGAAGAAAACCCCTAATACCCAATGACTCCCATACACACTTAGTTGTTCATCACAAATAAAGTTTGTAGTGTGTCATCATCTGTCCTTGTTTCTAACACTTAAATGTTAGTCATTTAGCAGACGCTCATATCCAGAGCGACTTACAGTTAGTGCATTCACTTACTCATAGCTAGATGAGACAACCACATTTCAGTCATAATAAGTACATTCTTCCTCAATAAAGTAGTTATCATCAGCAACTCAACTTCTCCTCTCAGATGACGCAGATGCAGGAGAGAGAAAAAAAGAGAGATCCAATAAACCATTACGGCGGAGACGGGAGGAGGCGGCAAGTAACCAGGAGGAGGGGCCTCTGAACTCAGTGTCCTCCCACTCCAGTGGTGATGAGGGGGAGGAGTCTGTGGTCACATGCCCTGCCCCTCCGTCGGCTCTGCATGAGATGTCCCCGGCTCAGGCCACCACCCTGAACTTCAGCGACACTCCCGAGGGAGAGGGGGATCCCAAGGGGGGCAACACCTGCAACGCACTCACAGGTGGGTCTGGGCATCAATGTGGACACAAACGATACACACACACACACCTTGTTCACTTCCATAGCAGACATAACCCAGGACACAACAATGTAAAATAATAGAATATGACATCTTACCCTGTTCTTTACCTCTTTCTTCCTCTCCCCTCCAACCAGGAGCATTTTCAGGGGTGTCCAACATCTTCAGTTTCTGGGGTGAGAGTCGGGGCAGTCGTGAGTACCAGGAGCTGCCGCGCTGCAGCCTGCCCTACCCTCCCCCTCTTAACACGCCCCTCAACAGCATCGGCCACAGGCAGCGCACCGAGCTGGAGAACAGACTGGACCTGCTGCAGAAACAACTTAACAGGTATAGAGACATACAGGGACAGAGACAGACAGGGACAGAGACATACAGGGACAGAGACATACAGGGACAGAGACAGACAGGGACAGAGACATACAGAGACATACAGGGACAGAGACATACAGAGACATACAGGGACAGAGACAGACAGGGACAGATACATACAGACACATACAGGGACAGAGACAGACAGGGACAGATACATACAGACACATACAGGGACAGAGACATACAGGGACAGATACAAACAGACACATACAGGGACAGAGACATGCAGGGACAGAGACATACAGGGACAGGGACATACAGGGACAGAGACATACAGAGACATACAGGGACAGAGACATACAGAGACATACAGGGACAGAGACAGACAGGGACAGTGACAGACAGGAACAGAGACATGGACAGAGACGGAGACATACACGGGCAGAGACAGACAGGGACAGAGACATACAGGGACAGAGACATATACCGACAGAGGCATACAGGGACAGAGACATACAAAGACAGTGACAGAGACATATAGGGACAGTGACACACAGAGACAGAGACATACAGAGACAGAGACATACTGTACAGGGACAGAGACAGACAGGGACAGAGACAGACAGGGACAGAGACGTACAGAGACAGAGACATACTGTACAGGGACAGAGACATACAGGGACAGAGACATACAGGGACATAGACATACAGGGACATAGACATACAGCGGCAGAGACATACAGAGACAGAGACATACTGTACAGGGACAGAGACATACAGAGACAGAGACATACAGGGACATAGACATACAGCGGCAGAGACATACAGAGACAGAGACATACTGTACAGGGACAGAGACATACAGAGACAGAGACATACAGAGACAGAGACATACAGAGACATAGACATACAGAGACAGAGACAGACAGGGACAGAGACATACAGACACAGAGACATACAGACACAGATACATACAGAGACAGACAGGGACAGAGACAGACAGGAACAGGGACAGGGACCGGAGCAGGGACAGGGACAGGTCAGGGACTGGGAAAAGGCAGGGGCAGAGACATAGTTAGCTATAGCCCTCAAACGGTTAGAATGACACCAGAGTGTGTAAAAGATGTACAAATGGGAATATAGGGCACAGCTGCTAGTCCACTCTAGCTGCTTCCATTACTCCTTGCACCACAGTGTCTGATACAAGTCTGTCCCCTGTCAGAGTAATGGAGGTACCCAGGTCTGGTGTTCGCACTGAGCTGACACCTCTCTCTTTAACCCTACCTCATTATTAATACGTATCTGTCTGATTCTGACAGACATCTTCCTCTCCTCTCCTCTTCTCTTGTTTTCTCTTCTCTCCTCTTCTCTCCTCTCCTCCGCAGTGGAAGAACTGTTATTGTAGTCCCTTATGGTCTTATCCAGTCAGTGCCCATTGTCAAGTCTCATTGAGGTCAAAGACCTACGTTATCTAGAAGGCTGAGGCTACGCCTGCTTGTGTATCTGTTTTGGGAGAGTTACTGTAACATGATTAGCCAGTAATGCTTCTTTGGGGATGCTCCGGGGTAGGTGTCAGCATTTCTGACGTGTGTATGCGTGTGTGTGTGTATGTCCGTGTGTTTCTCTCTTCAGGCTGGAAGCGAGGATGTCGACAGACATCGGGGCGATCATGCAACTACTACAGCATCAGATGGCCCTGGTTCCTCCAGCCTACAGCACCGTGTTGTCTCCCTCTCAGGCCTCACCCTACCCTGGCCCTGGCCCTGGCCCTGGTCCTGGTGAGACACTGGCCTCCCTCTCACAGGTACTACACACATACAGGAGATAGACACGTGCAGGCAGATACACCTCTAGACACATAAAATGCCTGTATACATGCGTACACACATGCACTCATACACACATGCAATCATACACATGGCCACACACTCACTTGCGTCCATACACACGCACACATATACAGACACACTCAAAAGGATCTTCACTGAATCCCTCCTCATCTGCATCTCTCCTCCAGATCTCGCACCCCCAGGACTTTGAGGAGTTCCCCAGCAAGTCGTGTGACTCTCTCCGCAGCCCTGATCAGCTGCACCCCCAGGACTCGCCTCTGGTCAGCCCCACCGAGGCACTACGAGCCACCACTGGAATGGGCAGCTTAACTCTGGACCTGGGCAGCTTGGGCAGCCTGGAGCTACAACTAGGGGCTGGGTCAGTGGCAGAGATGGGGGCAGTGGCAGGGTTGGGGTCAGGGATGGGGGCAGGTTCAGGGTTGGGGCCAGTGGCAGGGGCGAGTGGCCTGGACCCTGACACCCAGCGAAGGCTCTCTCTGCCTGAGCCACAGACGCCCCTGGACTCACAGACACCGCAGAGGCACAGCTCCGACCCTGGGGGGAGCTAAGGAGTGGTGAGGGGGAGGGAGGAGAATAGGGCCAGAGAGAGGGAAAGGAGGGGTAGCTCTGTTTTTCCCTCTTTCTCAGTCACACATCTCATGGGATCCTTCCCTCAGTCCAGGCGTAAACACACACATAAGGGGGCGCCACTTTTCTCCCTTCGGCCTCTAGAACCTCACCTATAGGCACTGAGTGAGCCTCACCTCTGACCTCTAACCTCTGACCTGAGGAGAAACCTTGTTTGGAGAGGGGGGAAGTCTCTCTTTTTCAGGGGTCATTTTCCCTATCCGGCTCCTAACGTTACCACAACGTTACCAAACCCACATGCAGCGAGAGAGGGAGGGAGGGAGGGAGGGAGAGAGAGAGAGAGAGAGAGAGAGAGAGAGAGAGAGAGAGAGAGAGAGAGAGAGAGAGAGAGAGAGAGAGAGAGAGCGAGAGAGAGAGAGAGAGAGAGAGAGAGAGAGAGAGAGAGAGAGAGAGAGAGAGAGAGAGAGAGAGAGAGAGAGAGAGAGAGAGAGAGAGAGAGAGAGGAGCACAACCCTCCTGAACTCAGTCCGGTCCACTCTGGCCTACAGAGATGACTACAGAACGCACGCTCACATGACTGGTTCTGTTTAGAAACGTCCCTTTACTGCTGTATCCAGAATTGGATTACCATAATGGGAAGAAAAAAATAACGATAATAATTATACAAGTAGCCATTATGTCTTGCACTGAAAATTACAGACATTCTATCTAACATGTCCGTGACGCTTCCGAAAACTGGTTGGTTAATGGACTGTAGTGTTAGCTGGCCTAACAGAAACTCTGGTGTCCTGTCCCATCATTGGCCCCTTTCCCCTAAGGTCTGTACCCCCGGAGGCAGAGCCAAGGCCCCAAGAGCATACTGGATTGGCTGGTTTTCACATCAGGGGTGGGGTTGGAGGAAGGGTTTAAAAGCCATGAATTCTTTGATGAACATATCAAATCCCTATCAGAACCTTGTACAGATTGCTAGAGAGTGGGAGTCTTTGTACAGTTCAATATGCAAACACTGGCGAGAGAGGAGAGTGTTGTATCCTATATCTGTGTTGATAATATCATATTCAGGTCCAAAGCTTTTTGCCCTAGTTTTGTCGGTAGTTCACAAAGCATGGCTTAGTTTCCCCCTATAACACTTGAAGAAGAAATGACCTTCCTTTACCCGTCCAAGGAACTGACTACACAGCAATACGCAGCCCCAGGAGAGAACACACTCCACACACGTTATAACGTAGATCCTCCATCATCTCCCCATGTTACTGTACTACTACAGGGGTCCTGTCTCACTCCCTTCCTCCACCTGTCCTTTCTCTGGGGAGAGTCTCTGTACATGATAGTTGATGACACAAGGTGCAATGGCAGCCAGTGATACGCAGGGAACCTGAAGATTGTATTTAACCGCTTGCTGGTCTGAGCTTCTTTTTTATTTATTGGTTTTAAGAGTTTTATGTTCTTTGTAGATTGTACCAAATATGATTTCTCATTTTGCAGAAAGAAGATGTACAGTTTAAGCTTATTTTGTTGAGGGAGTGAAATAATATTGTTTTGTAAATGTGGACAGGTACTCTACCTCCCCACGTTTTTGTGTTTGTTTTAACAAATGTTATGTCAGTACAACCATTATAGATGTTTCTTGAGTAATATGACTGTTTGACAGGAGTTGCACTTTATTATAATTATAATTATAATTATAATTTAATCTTCATCAATCATGACCAGAGATGTTAGCGCCAATGTCAGTGTCCACCCACTGGGCACAGATATTAATTCAACATCTATTCCACGTTGGTTCAATGTAATTTAATTGAAATGACTTGGAAACAACGTTGTGGGAAGTAGGCTAATATTATCATCAGATGTGATCTGAGCAGGGGTGGAGAGCTATTAGCTCCCAGAGTAAGATTTAAACAGTGAGAGTTAAAGTGAGTCGCAAAGCGGTGAGTAGTGTTTGTTTGTGTGTAGTGTGTATCATGCACGGTGCAAACACATTGTATCTGTATGCAGGGAAGAGTAGAAGCAGCAAAACAGTGTTTTTATCAACAGTTGCACCTCCAACTGAAGTGATGGGTAATGAATGGTAAAGACACACGCTATTAGGCCTACTGTTGCACATTTTTGTCATTTAGCAGACGCTCTTATCCAGAGCGACTTACAGTTAGTAAGTGCATACATTTATTTATTTTTTCATACTGGCCCCCCGTGGGAATCGAACCCACAACCCTGGCGTTGCAAGCGCCATGCTCTACCAACTGAGCTACACGGGGCCCTGTTCACTGTTAATCACTGTTAGTAATGTCTTTACATGTACAAAGTGCAGCAAAACCTGTGATAGTGAATTGGAAGAGCGATAATGCCTGAGTTGTGCTTTGGGATAGTGCATTTTAGTGTTGACCCAAAGCAACTGAAGGGAAGCAATTACTGTATTCTGCCTTGAATTGAATGGAAAGGGAAAAGTGATAAGAGATGGTTTTTGATCTAAGGAGGCCATTTAAGCTGCCCGACGTTCAAAGCAGAGTAGACACCAAACCAAAAGAGACCTCTTTTCAACTGAGCGTATTTACTGTATCCAGTTCCATCACTGCACTGAACATCTTCAAGGGTTGTAACAGTGACACAACAAAAGCCCGACGACAACAAAAAACTACTGTAGGCCAATATCTACAATTTCTTAAACAATTGTTGTTGTCATTTTTGGGCTCTTGTTGTGTCACTGTTACAACCCTTGAAGACGTTCAGTGCAGTGATGGAACTGGATACAGTAAATAAGATCAGTTGAAAAGAGGTCTCTTGGTTTCGTCTCTTCTACTCTGTTTTTAACTTTGGGCAGTTTAAA